ACTCAGGTCATTGATAAGGTTGCACGCCTGATCAAGACTTCAAGTTGAAGTTGTAAGTCTTGCTCGATACAACACCTCGATTGCTACCATGCCAGAACAACTTGTAAATAGGTGAAAAAGACCGTCGAAGGTACGATGGTTACACTCTACAAGACAAACCCAAACGCTGCGAGCCAACTGTACATACTTTTAAAGGGAAAGTACGGTCTAGAAAAAGTTTGTCTCAATTACAAGACTTTTTCCTCAGGAGTTCGAAAATAACTGCCATTTTGTCTAATTTTCTTTGTATTAGCGACAAGAGCGCTTCGAAGTCGCCCATTTTTGCAACTTTCGTGGTTAGAAAAACGCCATCTTGGATATTACGTCATGGTGACGTAGCAATAGTCAAACTTAGTTCGGCACTTTGTCCTTGTTGACTAGTTTGACCTTTTGCGACAACAATTTCTAATACTCCCGATAGTTGAAATGAGGTGAACTGTCCTGTTTTTGATTGTCAAAATACATACTAAAATTCAAAAGGAAAAGGTGTAAGCCTCTACAAGCTACTGGAAAGTAAAATATTAAAGAAAAGTTAGCCGGCAAAAATGACCCGCGACGACGGCTTGCAGAACCCCGTACAACCTTAGAACTTCCAGAACGAAGACTTCCAGCGAGATATACAGGCATGTAAGTTTTCCTTGTTGACCTTCGCTTCGAACTGAAAGCTATGCTTACCTTTTCCATATTCAACACAGCTCTCAGTTATTTATTCTACGAGTTTTTTCAAACCATTTTATAGTAAGCGAATAAATTGAAGCTCGTAATGGTGGTACACCGTGTGTGGTAAATTTTCAGTCGCCACCCTTGATCAAAGCCGATTTACAACATCATGCGCTTTTCCAAGCGGTGTATAAGTATATCTTGTCTTTCCTAAGTCTGTTATGGGTCCATCGAGTAATTTTTCTTTACCCCAACAGTCACATTCTCCTGCGGAGAAAAAACTACATGAAATTTAATACATCGCTAGCAAATTAACAAGACAAACACGTCTACAACTAATACAAATAATCCTTCGTCAGGCAGGCGCCCATATTTCACTATATCATATCGATTGGACACGATAAAAATAATATGAAAATATTTTTGTTTTCGAACCAACTAGTTGACGTAATTATGCAGTGCTTATGCTTTCAAAAGAATCGATAGTTTCATTTGAGCTTCAATTATATTGAGGTAATTTCTAATGTAAACACTGTATGACAGAGGTGATTTTCGGGTGCGCGTCGAAAATAACAAAGCTCTACTTCTCACAAGTCGCGACATTTCAAACATTTTAGAACAAAAAATACTGCGTTGAAGATAATTCTAAGCAATAAAGATGAAAAAAAACTTTTCAGATTGAACGTAAATGCTGAAACAAACAAAATTTAATTCATAACAATTAACTTCTGCCTTTTGTCAGCGTTATTTTTGGCAGCTAAGTGTTTGTAATCAATTTTGTCAGTGTTTACGGATACGAAGAATGATCTTCAAGTCTATCATTTCTAACTTGTTGCATGCCAACTGGGGCTGATCTTAGTTCCAAATGGCTTGTGTTCCGTTATACACCGAAGCTGGGTTCCTGTAACTGCAAAAATATATAGTTCGTCTCATTCCGAGGTAGCAGTGTAAAATGAATCCGTAGCGGGCACTGCGGTCTTCTTTAGCAAAGTAACTATCACTCCACAGCTAGGACTTCTTTGAGGAGCAAACCTTTGCCTTTCAAATTGAGTCGGTGTACTAGTAAATTTAATTCTTAGGAGGATACATTCTCTTTTTCCGTAGGTTTCTCCTGACAGTTGCCGCAAGAGAA